CCCAGTGCCAGGACCTCCAACTCCAGCACCCACAGAACTAGCACCTCCTGTGCCAGCACCTCCAGCTCCAGCACCCCCAGAATTAGCACCTCCAGAGCCAGCACCTCCAGCTCCAGCACCCCTCGAACGAGCACCCCCAGACCGAGTACCGCCAGTGGCTGCACCTCCAGCTCCACCACCAACCGAGTCCACAGTAACCTGTCGCGGAAGTGCCAAAGGCTGCTGAGGGGACTGTGAGGAGGACTGCGGGGAGGGAGACGCTACCTGACGCGCGACCGAGGGTAGAGGGGTAGCGTGAGAGACACCTGACGGGGCAGGACCAGGGGGGGGTGGGGGTACCGGAGGAGCGGGAGCAAGGGGAAGAGAGGGTGCGAGGAAAAGGGGGGAAGGGGGAACCGGGAGACCTCTACAGGGGTACCGGGTGTAGTAGGACACTGAATCGTCGAACCGGACGTCATGGGAGTCTAGGAACTGGTGGAGGGGCAGGTGGTAAAAGGACCAGACGGGCAAGGCTACCGGGAAACCAAGGAAGACACAGGGGACGGCGCGAGCCGAGAGCTTGTCTGCAGAGGTGTCGCGGACAAGCGCAAGGCAGCCCTAGACACGAAAGGCTGACCCAACACCAGGGGACCCGGTCCAAAGACTGGTCGGAGAAGCCTCTGGCCGCGAGACATCCGGCTGGAGGTTCAGCTGGTGAGCGGGGTAGCGAACCGCATAGGGCCACAGAAAATGGGGCGCACGGGCATGAATCATGGACGTGCGGGCGATGTCCATGACCAAGCCAATGCGGCGCTCAGCAACCCCATTCTGCTGTGGGGACTCCGGCAGCGTCCAGGACTGTACGATGCCCTGCTCGCCGCAGAATCCGGCAAGAATGCCTGAGCGAAACTCACCCCCACGGTCAGAGTGGAGACAGGAGACACGACAGCCATGAGTGCCCTCAGTGGCTATAAGCCACCGGATCTGCGTAGAAGTCACCTCGGACTTCTTCGTGAGAGGAAACACCGTGGTGTACCTGGAGAAGTCGTCGACGACCACCAGAAAGTAGCGCTCCCTCTTAGGTCCCTGCATAGGTGCAGGGCCCCAAACATCCAAGTGGAGTGTCTGGAAGGGAGTAGTGGCCGGATGAAGAGAGGAGGAGTGTGGAGCGGCACGAAGACGGCCGGCGACGCAAGGAGTGCACGGGGGTGCAGGCGAGGGAGGGAGCGACGGGAAGACGCGAGGGAGACCTGAGACAAGACGGTGACTAGCCATAGTGCGGAGGCGAGGGATCGACGGGTGGCCAAGACGGTGGTGTCAAAGGACGGTCCGGTGGGTGAAAGACCGATACGAGCAAGATGCAACAACCTGACCAGACGCGACAACCGGAGGGGACGCAGCTACCTGACTAGACTCGACAACCGGCGGAGGCGCAGGAACCTGGGGGGACGCAGCGACGTGAGATGACGTGGACACCGGGGAGTGCTTGGTGTGGAGGACGTAGAGACCGGAGCGCGGCTCCCTAGTGAACGTGGCCAAAACTCTGCCAGTGACAGCGTCCGTACAGACTGCAGTCCGCCCACCCCCCACAAAGGTAACGGTGATCCCCCTGTCCTGGAGGTATCCAACACCCACCAAGTTCCGAGTGAACGAGGGGATATGGAGGCCGCGCAGGACATTAGAGGGGACCACAGGGCATGGGAGGGTGGTAGAGCTGCGTGCCACGGCTGGTCCTGAGGAAGGATCAGCCAGAGCTACCGGTACTGGAGCAAGGAGCGGTGTGAGTGTCGTGTGGTCGCGGAAGAAGCTCTGCGACGCGCAAGAGTCCATCGTGAAGGACAGGGACGCCACAGCCTGTGGTGAACCCGGTGTGGAAGCTACACAAGCACCTAGAGCAGAAACACAAGCACCTAGACTGGAGAGGCACAAGTCTACGCTAACAGGAAGCAAGCAAGCTAATCTACCAACACGCAAGCACACAAATCCATCAGCACTATGGTCAACATCAGCATACAAAGCTTACTGACGAGCATCATCCACAGACAGATCAAAGACATGAATCTTACGGGCCAGCAGGCGAGCCCAGCGCGGAGTGGTCGCCTCAGGGCCCCAACGGGCACGGTAGAGGTCGTCGAGGCGGCAGAGTGGTCGTCGCGGCGGCAGACACAGGGGTTGCCCGGTCCGGTGAGGCACCAGTGGTCACAGGGGCTGGTATCATGGCGAGGGGGGCGAGGGGCCCATCTGGAACTGCTGCTGCTGCGGCCGGAGCTCCCTGGTCCTCCCGGACCCCACTTCGGTGGGGGGCCCCAGTGCTGCTGCGGACCCCACTGCAGTGGGGGCCCCCAAGGCTGAAACTGCTGCGGTGCCTGCTGCTGCTGCTGTCCTTGCTGGTGCTGCTGTCTCTGCTGTGGCTGGTGCTGCTGTGGCTGCTGCTGCTGAGGTCCGACACCCCCGCCGGTCTGAACACCGCAAGTAGGTGGGCCTGTCTGTCCTGCACCTCCTCCAAGGCTCCCTCCTCCTGGGGCACCGCTGCCGCCTCCGCCACCACCACTGCTCCCAGCTCCACTGCCACCACCACCGCCTCCTCCACCTACCTTCCCGCCCTTCTTGCCACTCTTGCCCTGTTTCTGCCAGTCAGCGGCAGAGACGGCAGCAGTGTCCTCAACAACCGACACAGTAGCAGAAGCGCGGGTAGCAGTGAAAGTGGGAAGCTGAGGAGCGGCACGCCCTGCAAAAAGACGGGGGGGCACTGCGTCAGTGGCGGAAGCAACGGAGAGGAGGTTACTCTTGATCTTCCCGAGAGCGGTCTCAAGGAGATCGAGAGTAAGCTCAGTGGGGTGCTTCTGGAGAAGCACGTAGCGAGCAGTAGCGAGGCGGTCTGGGAGGCGTGTGACTAACCACTGCACAGTGAGCCACATGGGGGGGGGGGAGCAACAAGAAGCTGGGCATCGGTGCAGGCCGCACGGAAACCGACGTCAAGTGAACGCAGGTGAGTCACGAGGTCGGACACAGTCGAAAACGAGCCAAGGTCGGGAAACACTAACGGCATGAGGAGGCGACTGAGGGAGGCAGAGGAAGGGGTGGAATAGCGCGCAACAACAGCATCCCAAATCCCCTGCGCAGTATCCACCTAGGCAAAGTGGACGGCCTCAGTCGGTGGGAGGAGCTCCGTCAGCGCAAGAGCAGTGGCAGCGTCGCGAGAGTCTCACACGTCCCTCGCCAAGACACGACGGTCGTAGTCCGCCTGCGTCGCAGGAGTCGGCTCCGGGTCGGTCGGGAGGGGGTCGGGAGGCAGGGGCGCCTTGAGGGCACCAGAAGCGTGGGCCCACAGGGTGGCGCCGTCCTGACGCTGACTGGTGAGGTAGCGCGTGGCCTGGCGCTGTCAGGTACTGAACTCGATCGGGCGGCCCTCCGCATCGAAACGAAGGCGGCGGGACTCCATGCTGGAGGCGGCTGGAGGCTAGGCGCTAGGCTAGAGACTAGGCTACAGAGGGTCGCCAGGGAGAGGAGCGGCTGCCAGCCGCTGAGCAGAAGGCCAGTGACAGTAGGGACGGTTCGGGCTCGGGGAATAGGGCGGTGGAGGGGTGAAGGCTAGTGCTAACGGGGGGAAAGGGCGTGGCAGAGGGCGGGCTAGGCACTGCCTGAGGCGCGGGCTGGTGCGAGGGCAGGGCGCGGGCCTGGGCGACGGGCTAGGGCGAGGGCCTTGACGACGGGCTGGGGCGCGGGCCTGGGCGACGGGCTGGGGCGCGGGCCTGGGCGACGGGCTGGGGCGCGGGCCTGGGCGACGGGCCTGGGCGACGGGCTGGGGCGCGGGCCTGGGCGTCGGGCTGGGGCGCGGGCCTGGGCGACGGGCTGGGGCGCGGGCCTGGGCGACGGGCTGGGGCGCGGGCCTGGGCGACGGGCTGGGGCGCGGGCCTGGGCGTCGGGCTGGGGCGCGGGCCTGGGCGTCGGGCTAGGGCGACGGGCCTGGGCGACGAGCTGGGGCGCGGGCCTGGGCGACGGGCTAGGGCGACGAGCTGGGGCGCGGGACTGGGCGACGGGCTAGGGCGCTGGCCTGGGTGTCGGGCTAGGGCGCTGGCCTGGGCGACAGGCTAGGGCGACGGGCTAAGGGCGTGGAGGGCGCTGACGCACGGAGGAGGAGGGCGCTAAGGCGCGGAGAGGGCGCGGAGGGCGCGGAGGCTAAGGCGCGGAGGGCGCGGAGGCTAAGGCGAGGAGGCTAAGGCGCGGAGGGCGCGGAGGGCGCGGAGGCTAAGGCGCGGAGGGCGCGGAGGGCGCGGAGGGCGCGGAGGCTAAGGCGCGGAGGGCGCGGAGGGCGCGGAGGGCGCGGAGGCTAAGGCGCGGAGGGCGCGGAGGGCGCGTGCTAGGAAGGAACGAGGAACTAACCTACGCGTGATACCATCTCAAAGTAGGAATGCAACGGGATGATGCGATTAGGAATGTGGGTGATACAAATAGCAAACCCTAACTGAGTTGTACTCACTAAGGAGCACCTCACTAGAGCCTATCACAAATATCAACATTTGACAAGTTCACCCATCTCTGGGTCACTCGCACTTGTTATCGCTCAGTACCGTACAAGGGGGGACCCTGTAGTGTGGTGCAACTCCACTTCGACTGGTTTTTGCCAGGGGAAGAAGTTTCTTTCTCGGTTTCGAGAAGTTGCAGTTAGTTAGACAAGTTGCACGGGCTAGGTTCGGTGTTCTTTTAACGATTTTAAAGGCTCTTAGCCTTAACACATTCAACTCGCGAAGCCCTCGCGACCCATCCGTAGTCGGAGTGGACTGCCTACCGACTTATGTTACGACTTGCTTAATCACTGGAATCCTGAAATACGGCACAAAACAGCAAGAGAAAAAGAACTTTCAGGAGTCACCCCCGGTTTTGAACCGGGGACCTATCGATCTGCAGTCGATTGCTCTACCACTGAGCTATAGCTCCATGGCGAAGTTGTAAATCAGTAAATTTTAAAAGTTTTTCAAATACGTTCTCCAGTCCACATTCTCATTCTTTTGCTCACAACCATGGCGCATCAGCTTCGGCGATCCGAGCGGCTGCTGGCCGTCCGATCCGCCGCTCGCATCTTTTTCCAAATCCCGTTGCCTTCCGGCATCTCCCCCGCGGCGCCCGCCGTTCCACCCCATCCTCCCCACGCCATTCGCCGGATCGTACGGGAACTCTGCCACGTGGAAGGCAGCGGGCAGGCCAGATTGATCCAATGCCGTCCCGTCCAATGGGGTGTCGACAGGTGTCGCCCTACTCCCACACCCCCCTCCGCCGCGTTTGCGCCCTTCCGCCGTTTGATCCCTTCTCGTGCGCCTGCGGGTAGCACCCGCAGTTTTTCCGCCGCCACATCTCCCCCGATCCCGCCGACCTCCGCCCCGAACGCTGGCGGAGGCGCAGGCGGAAGCACTGGCGGTTCGGGCGGGCAAAAAGGCGGGGGGGGATTGGTGGGCGTGGCTGTAACAGCTGCCGCTATAGCGGGGGCGGCAGGAGGAGCGTATTATTGGTGGGAGACAGAAGCAGCGAGATTTGGACCTGGTCCCGTTATAATCACACCCGATACAAAATTAGGCTCGGAAGAAAAAGTTAACATCTCGAGTCCCGCGGCAGACTTGGGGACTGGGACGGCGAGGGCTGGAGACACGATAACGGAGCAGAGGGGCATAGACGAGGGGAAGGAGGGGGAAGGAAATGAGGGGAAGGATGGGGGAGGAGAGGAGGGGAAGGATGGGGGAGTAGAAATTGGGAGGGAGGGGGGAGATGGGGAGGGGAAGGAGGAGGCGGGAGATGAAGGGAAGGAGGGAGCGAGAGAGGGGGGAAGTGTGAAGGGGTCAGAAGGTAAAGAGAGGGGGGAGATCGGGGCGGAGGAGGAAGATGAGGAGGAGGTAAAGCAAAGGAAAAAGGAGGAGAAGAGGAGGGAGAAGGAATTAAAGAAGAAGGAAAAGGAAGAGAGGAAGGCGGAGGGAAAGGAGGGAGAGGAGGATGAGAAGGGAGGGGAAGGAGGGAAGGATGATGCTGGGGATGAGGAAAAGAAGAGGAGGAAGGAAGAGAAAAAACGTCTCAAGAAGCTGAAAAAGGAGGAAGAGAAAAAGAAGGGAGAAGCAGACGAGAATGGGGAGGGGAAGGAGGAAGAGGAAAGAGAGATGTCGAAAGAAGAGAGGAAACGACTTAAGAAGCTAAAGAAAGAGGAGAAGGGAGAGAAGAAGAGGAAGAAAGAGGAGAAAAGGAAGAGGGAAGGGGAGGAGAAGGGTAAGGAGGAAGAGGATGAGGAGAAGGAAGGAGAGAAGGTGGGGCCACGGGAAGGAAGCGAAGATTACAGCAAGGGGGAGGGAGCAGCTGACGTGGCCGCTGACGTGGCGGCTGACATGGCCGTTGACGTGGCAGTGGGCGTGGCAGCTGAGGTGGTGAGGATCGAGTCAGCGGCAAGGAAGGCGGAGGCGGAGAGGGGGAGGAGGGAGAGGGAGCGACAGCTGGCAGCGATGCAGGTGAGATGAGAGGAGGGAGAGGAGGGAGGGAAGGAGGGAGGGAGGGAGGTTTGGGAGGAGGGGAGGGGGGGGAGGGAGGGAGAAGAGGGAGGGAGGATTAGCTTCTCCCCTTCTGCCCTCTGCCCTCTGCTTACTGCCCTCTGCCATGAGTACTTAAGGCCTTTGTGGCCTCTTCAACTCTCATTCTTTCAGTTAGTTCTGGAGATTTCGGTGCTTCGCGCGGGCGCTACGCGCCGGTGCTCGCGAGCGCGGCCTTCGGCCGTGTGTTAGGGAAGGCAAGAGGACAACAACAATGGCACTCAACATGACAACCACAGCAAGCAAGACAAGCACGGACTACTAGGCAAGAAGCAATGGAGCGGGTCTACACACGCGCAAGGGGGGCGCCTACATGCGGTCGGCCCCAAGCTCACCAAGCGTTTCGCGCGTGGTCAGCCACATCTGGCGGACCACTGGCGCGATGGCGCCGACAACGTCAACTGGAGTTCCATGCGTTGCAACAAGCGTCCTCAGATCCAGGGCCTTCACAGCCAGCTGGTTGGCCGAGACTACACCCGACGAGGGCGCAACCTGCATTGATGACACATACGAGAATAGTGTTGACGCCGCCGTGTGACACTTTGCTCGCGGCCTCTGAGAGAACGTGCTCGGTGGGGTCACCGACATGGAGTCATGGGACTCTAGAAGGATCATGGAGTCGTGGGACTCCAAAAGGATCAGCTCAAGGCTCTGCAGGCACTCCGCCAGCGACCACAAACGCGCCAGGGTCGCCGTGGGCACTTCCTTCATCGGCGGAGGGAACGCGAATGCGTGAGCTCGGCGGGCCGACACGGTAAGATCACGAGGAGCAGGGAGGGGCCGTGGCGGAACAAACTGAGCCCACGGATCCCCGCCATCAGCACCAACAAACCCAGCTCCCGCAGGCAGCGGCCGATCTGAGCGCGCCGGGGAACCAACGGGGTTGTGTGGCAGGAGAGCAGCAAGAGGAACGACGGGACCGGATGGCGGAATGGACTGCGACGACGATGCGGCATTCGAGCGGTGGAGAGCTTTCTCCACGCCTTCAAGTTTCTCCAACACGCGCTCCATCGCGGACGACGCAGGACGCGCTGCACCGCCGCGTCCATACCCCCCTCGACGCCCAGGATGACCTCGTCCACTTGCGTTCGAACGCACCGGCGATTGTGGGCGGGACGAGGCCTGCTGACGGTGGCGGTCAGGGGAACGGCCGTTGCGACGAGGAGAGTCGAGCCGCTGGCGCTTTGCAGGACGAGGTGAACGAGGAGGCGAACGTGGACGGGAGGAATGGTGAGCTGCCGAACGGTGGCGAGAAGGAGGGCGAGCGGGCGAACGGTGGCGACGTGATCAGCGGTCACGCGACCGGCTACGTGACGCGGCGCGACGAGGCGAACGTGGTGAACGGTGCAAACGTGGCGATCGTGACGATCGCGGCTCAAGGAGGCGACCGTCACGGTGGCTCCCCGCCCTATCGTCGCGCGTCTCAGACGATCGGCGGCGAGGCGATCGTCCCCGGCGCGCCTCAGCCACTACGCCGGAGCGCACGACGGACGCCTTGCGCGCAGGCTCCTTCCGAGGCGAGGACTTGCCCCCGCGAGGAGCCAGATCGCGCCGCTGATCCTCGAAGCGGCGGCGTATTTGATCTGCAGCCGCCAACGGAGCGACGGGCACGCTCGCAGCACGACGCACAGGGGGAAGTGGACGGGGAACAGGGCCGCTCTCCGCGGTACACTCCCGACCAGGGCCGCCGTCAACAGACATTGGAGCGCAGGGAGGATGGCGCTCGCTCAGCGGGCGGTCGACGTGGCGGAAAGAGAGCAGCAGGTCGCGGAGGACGAGCCAGCGGAGGCGGACCGGAGAACGTGTATCAACAAGCTAGTCGAAGGGCTTTAAACGAGCTGGAGGACGATACTGAAGAGACTTCGACAGATAACAGCTTTGTAGCTGCTGAATCAACGGACTCGACTTCTAGCTCTGAGTCTGTGGACGAACCCCAAACCCAGACTCCTGCTAAAGCAAGCAGGGCAGCACCATCTCACATGGCGGGAGGATCCTCAGTTGTTAGATCCTCTTGGAGGGGACCCTCAACACCAACTCGAGCCGCATCGGGCAACATTGCAACACCCCCACTCCCACCACCAATTTCCCACATTCCAACCCCATCCCGAGCCGCCCAGCAATCTGCAACTGGCGGTAACCCCATCCCAACCCACCCGCGAGAGGAAAAATCCTGTGAAACACTCGCCAAGGATGACGTGCTATTCGCCGGGGTTGGATCATGGGACCTTACGAAATTGCGCGACAGTTGCCACGCACCACTCTCCCGCCACCTCCCAACAGACCCTCGCAAACTTTTCGCCACCGCCTTGCTGGTGCCTCTGCTGCGACTAGCGACAGATCCAGACTCACACTCTGCATGGGTCGTCCTCCTTTTTCTCGCGCGACTGACACTTCGCCAGCTCTCACCCAGGCGTCCAGATTGGAAGGCAGTCAGCGCACGCCTTAGCCAGTTCATGTGTGGGGACTGGGACAAGCTGTACAAGGACACCGTGGACTCACTGACTTGTCCCCAGCCACCCAGACACCATCCTGACGACATTGGGGTCATCGCGAGAGCTGAGGGGCTAGCTCGACGTGGCAGCCTGCGACGGGCCGTAATGGCCCTTGAGGCCACGCCAGTCTGCACGCCATCCCCGGCTGTGCTGGAGGCACTGCGCGCCAAGCACCCACCTGCGCCCGCCTCCCCACCTGACTGGATATTCCCCACACCTCACCCCCACCTCTCGGGCGCCATACGAGGTCTTCTCCAAGGCGCTGGGACGCTGTGAGATGGGAGTTGGAGCTGGCCCCTCAGGAACAACCTTCGAGCACCTGCGAGATGCAACTCTGATCAACGCTTCAGTGGGGAAACACCTGCATGCACTCGTCAACACGATGCTCACGGGAAAATTACCTCCTGCAGTAGCCGATCTCCTCACCGCCTCATGCCTAATTGCTCTTACCAAGCCAGGAGGGGGGACGAGGCGGATAGCCATTGGCGAAAGCCTCACATGCCTCGCCGCCAAAACGGCTCTTACCTTGACGGCAGGCGCCGCTCGTGACTTTTTCTTACCGCACCAGTTCGGCGTAGCGGTACCGGGGGGAGCAGAGGCGATCATACACATCACTCGAACCTACCTTACCGTCAACCCTGGTGCTCTAGTTCTGCAGGCCGATTTAGCGAACGCCTTCAACAGTGTTAGCAGAGCGGCCATCGCGGAGTCCCTTCGCGGATCGACGCTAGCTCCACTGCTGCCACTAGTGAAACTGTCCTATGGTCAGCCCTCTTCCCTATGCCTGGATGCCGGTTTTTCTCACCCACCACTCTTGAGCGAAACCAGGGTGAGGCAGGGAGATCCCCTCGGCCCCTTGCTGTTTGCTGCCGCCATTCACCCCGCGTTGACAAGCACGGCTCTCGCCTTCCCGTCCGTGGTATGCTTGGCATAAACGGACGACATTACCTTTCTTGGAGAAGCAACGGCTTGTGCGGCGGCGTTTGAACACTTCACGGGAAGCCTCGGGGAGACAACATGGTGTGGGTTGCACCACAACCCTGCTGATTGCGCAACATGATCCCAGGCGGGCCGTCAGTCAGCACCACTTCCGCAAGGCGTACCTTTCAGTGACGACGGTGTGAAGGTGCTGGGCAGCTTCGCTGGCGGAAATGATGCAACTGCCGCGTTCCTACGCGGCACCCTTGATGCAATGGGAGCCCCCCTACGCTTAATCGCGAGGATGGAGCCATAGCTGGCGTCCCTCTTGCTTACCAGATGCATCTTGGGACGCGTCTCCTATGTCTTTTGAGGCGCCTCAAAAGTCGTCTCCTATGTCGCGCGCACTACGCCGCTCTCTCCCCTGCCAGTAGAGGAGTGGTCGGACTGGGGCAAGGGACTGGTTGAGACCCTGCTGACGGCCTGCGGCATACGACACCCAAGGGGGGAGGCCGAGATAACACCTACCTGGGCCCAAGCCTCACTCCCAATCTCGCTTGGAGGCTTGGGACTTGCGGACCCGTCGGTGGAAGGACGTGCTGGGTTCCTAGCGAGCTACACACAGACACAGCACTTGCTCACCTCCATTGACGAGGCAGCGGTCGGCGCCTTGGCGGAAACACGAATCCAGATGGCTGGACCCTACCTCAACACGTCCCCGCTTTTTGACTGGTTGGAGAGGTGCGAGGAGTTGCTGCCGGAGGATGGGAAGGAGCTGTTGCAGAGTGACCGTGCCGATCCCAAGGGCATCAAGCTGCAGCATGGGCTGGCAATCGCGGTCCACGGACGCCGCTACGCCGAGCAGGTCCAAGCCACGCGCGACATGCCGCTCAACCCCCTTAGCGGGCACACGCAGCGCATGCTCTCCCTCTCGGGGTACGGGGCAGGGGATTGGCTCAACGCGGTCCCCTTTAACAAGTCGCTGATCACTTTGCCCACGCGCTGCAGTTCCGAATGGGGCTTCCCTCCTCTGCACCTGGCGCTTGCGACTGCCGCAACAACATGACAATCACAGACAGGCGGCTGCCCAACCACCTACTGCGCTGCGACACAGGGAAGGGGAGGACCAGCACTCGTAATGAGCTGCGGGATGAGTGCTTGCGGATGGCCAACGACGCGGATTTCATGACTCATGGAGAGACAACAGCATTCTTCCCCGTCACCAGGAAGAAGGCAGACATAGCAATCAGGGACAATTCCTCGGGGGCGGTTTGGATTGGGGACGTGACTATCACGGATCCCATTAGCACCCGCGACCCCAACGCAGTCAAGGGCAGGGGGTGGGCAGCCCGTGAAGCGGCAGAGAAGAATATCTCCGACTATGAGGGCTCAACGGCCCCATGGGTCGGATTCTTCCCACTAGCCGTTGACACTTACGGCTGCCCGTGCGCAGAGGTCCCCCATTTCCTCAAGCTGCTAGCCGACACCGCCGCCCGCAGCCTCTTCAATGCGGCCCCCTCATCTCATCCTACCAGGCTACAAAGCTGCTGCACCAGTTCCGCCAGAGGTGGTCCGTGGCACTGCAGCGGGCCCAGTCAGTGAGCTTCACGACGAAGTGCAACTTCGCGGCGCAGGTGGAGAACCCACCTGTGGGGATGCCAGGCGAAGGCATGTCCCTTGGGGATTGCCTTGCCATCTTGGAGCCGGTGTTGGAGCTCCCTTAGATGGAGCATGGGGGTGGGGGGGTGAGTAGGATATGGGGGTTAGAGGCTGAACTGTATGTGCTTTCTCTATCCTTGTGCATATCTGTACATGCTTGGATCTAATACACGGACCGCTTGGGAGGGAAGGAGGGAGTTCGAATGGTTTAAGAGGGAGTGAGAGCTGTCAGCAATGCAGGTGAGTGAGAGGGAGGAATTTGCTGCTAGAGGGTTCCTAGACTATCCACTATTCACTATCCCCTATCCGCTTGATATCCGCTATTTGGTATCGGCTAATTGGTATCCGCTATTTGGTATCGGCTATTTAATATCGGCTATTCGCTATCGGCTATTTGGTATCCGCTATCCGGTACCCTTTATGTATACACCAACCCTACGTCTCTTCTCGCCTGCCCTTTCTTTCCACTCTACCTTCTTCTGCGAACGAAATCCCCTCCGCCCCCCTCCCCCTTCCTCCCCCAACGCCCTCCTCCCTCCCCCGTCACACACAGGGTGTCCACGTGGCAGAACAGGATTCGCTGGCAGCGGCGGTGCGAGAGAGGGAGAGGGAGGGGGAGGCAGAGAGGGAACGGATTGAGCAGCAGAGGGAGGAGATGGGGAGGGAGTTGGAGGAATGGGAGGAGGGGGAGGCGAAGAGGCAGCAAGAGGAAGAAGAGGAGATGGTGAGTGAGGGGTGGGAGACAGGTAAGCTTGAGGGAGGGAGAAGGCATGGCATTGAGAGGGAACGGATTGAGCAGCAGAGGGAGGAGATGGGGAGGGAGTTGGAGGAATTGGAGGAATGGGAGGCGAGGAAGCAGCAGGAGGACGAACAGGAGATGGTGAGTGAGGGGTAGGCACAAGCATGGAAGGGGTAAGGGGCCTTGGATAACCTGTGGGGGGATGGACAGCAGAGGGAGGAGGGGAGATGGTGAGTGATGGGGGGCACAAGCATCAAAGTGAGGGGAGTGGGAGGTAAGCTTGGGGGTAGGAGACAAGTAGAAAGGGTCTGTCGCAGACAAAATCGAAACAGTGTGGGGAAAGGAGAGGCAGCAGACTGTTTCAGGCCATATCCACCCTGCAAGCAGTGCTGCAGCAGCAGCTGAGGCAGTGGATGGGTTCAATTCAACCCATCCAGCTGCTGCTGGTGCCAGTGGTGGCAGTTCAATTCAACTCATCCACCCCTCTGCTCCTCCTCTGCTTTGCTTCTACCCATCTCTTCCTCTCCATCCACCCGTCCCTCCCTCCAGGCCATATCCACCCTGCAAGCAGTGCTGCTGCAGCAACTGGCGGCAGCGGCAGCAGCAGAGGCCGGGGCTAAGGAATCAGCAGAGGCACATGGGGAGCAGACAGAACTGCTGAAAGAGGAGGTGAGTTTATAGGAGGGCGAAGGGAGGGGAGACGAGAGGATGCAGATGTGATGAGCGGCTGTTAGGAAGTGTGGCAGCAGAAGAGGCAGAGGCGAAGGAAGCAGCAGGGGCACATGGGGAGCAGACAGAACTGCTGAAAGAGGAGGTGAGTTTATAGGAGGGCGAAGGGAGGGAGAGGATGATGATGGGATGGGCGGCTGTTAGGAAAGGTGACAGCAACAGAGGCCGGGGCGAAGGAAGCAGCAGAGGCACATGGGGAGCAGACAGAACTGCTGAAAGAGGAGGTGAGTTTATAGGAGGGCGAAGGGAGGGAGAGGATGAGTGATGGGATGAGCGGCTGTTAGGAAGGGTGGCACCGTGGCAGCAACAGAGGCAGAGGCGAAGGAATCAGCAGAGGCACATGGGGAGCAGACAGAACTGCTGAAAGAGGAGGTGAGTTTTTAGGAGGGCGGGGAGGGGAGACGAGAGGATGCAGATGGAGTTGCTGGACGAGAGAGGTGGAGATAGTAGAAGGGGTGGGAACTAAAGCTTGTATCCTCTTCCCTCCGCTGCTTCTTCCCCTCTGTGTGTATGTGTGTATGTGTGTATGTGTGTATGTGTGTGCATGTTTGCAGATCTCTGCTCTGAGGGATGTTTTCTTCCAGCGGTCTCAAGAGGACAGGCTGTGTTGGTGTGGTTGAGTCGAGTAAAGCGTGTCCCCCTGCTCCCCCCACTGCTACTTCTTCTCTGTGTGTGCATACGTGTGTGTATGTGTGTGTGTGCGTGCGTGCGTGCGTGCGTGCGTGCGTGCGTGCGTGCGTGCGTGCGTGCGTGTGTGCGTGCGTGCGTGCGTGCGTGCGTGTGTGCGTGTGTGCATCTCTCCAGATCTCTGCTCTGAAAGACGTCTTTTTCCATCGCTCGCAGGAAGACCGGCTGTCATGGCATGCGCACCGAGTGGCTCTGGTGAGATGCAGTGCGGTGCAATGCGGTGGGATGGTAGTGGTTACGTATAATCATATGGTACAGTACAGAGAGAATGAAAATATTGAAAATGAAGGTTGTGCTTTCTCTCAAACTTGTCGGTCGTGTGGGTTAGCTGTGGCAACCCTCTGTTGCCTTGATCCTCCCCATATTTCATCCTTTCAAGGCACATGTTGTATGGAAATCACTTTAGAGAATTCTCAAAATTGATTTCCATATGCCCTCTCCTTCGCCTTCATCCTCCCGGTATTCCATCCTTTCAAGGCACATGCTGCCTTCGCCCTACAAGGCACAGCAGTCAGCAACATACCTTTGCTGCCCATTTTCTCCTCCCTCCTTCCTTCTCCTTTTCTCGCTCGTTCCACCTCCATCCTTCATTTTCCCCTCTCAATCTCCGTACCCATCTTCCTGACTTCCTCCTCCTTCCCCTTTTTGAGTCGACTCAAAAGCCACCTCGTTACAATGGCAAACGACAAAAGTCACCTCATTTTCCCCTCTCACTCTCCTTACACGTCTTCCTGACTTAGTCCGCCTCCTTCCCCCCTTTCCAGGCCGCCATTTCTCTCCGAGAAGCAGCACACAGCAACAAACCCTTACAGCCGGTCCTCTCCTCCCTCCACTATCGTCCTTCTCCCTCCACTATCGCCCTTCTCCCTCCACTATCGCCCTTCTCCCTCCACTATCGCCCTTCTCCCTCCACTATCGCCCTTCTCCCTCCACTATCGCCCTTCTCCCTCCACTATCGCCCTTCTCCCTCCACTATCGCCCTTCTCCCTGCACTATCGTCCTTCTCCCTCCACTATCGCCCTTCTCCCTCCACTATCGCCCTTCTCCCTCCACTATCGTCCTTCTCCCTCCACTATCGCCCTTCTCCCTCACTCCCCTTGTGTTTCCTTATGCATCGTACCCTCACTCCCCCCCACCCCTTTCCAGGCGGCCATGTCTCTTCTCTTCAAGAAGCAGCAGACAACAACCACTCCCTACAGCCGGTCCTCTCCTCCCTCCACAATCGCCCTTCTCCCTCACTCCCCTTGTGTTTCCTTACACATCGTACCCTCACTTTCCCCCCGTTTCCCCCATTCCAGGCGACCATATCTCTCCAAGAAGCAGCAGACAGCAACCAACCAGTGCAGCCGATCCTCTCACTTCCTTTACCTTCCCTCATGTACCTTCCCCGCTGCCCTCTACTGCTCACCCTCCCTTCCAGGCGACCATATCTCTCCAAGAAGCAGCAGACAGCAACCAGCCCTTGCAACGAATTCTCTTCCCTCTCCTCCTCCACTATTGCCCTTCTCTTCCCTCTCCTCCTCCACTATTGCCCTTCTCTTCCCTCTCCTCCTCCACTATTGCCCTTCTCTTCCCTCTCCTCCTCCACTATTGCCCTTCTCTTCCCTCTCCTCCTCCACTATTGCCCTTCTCTTCCCTCTCCTCCTCCACTATTGCCCTTCTCTTCCCTCTCCTCCTCCACTATTGCCCTTCTCTCCCCTCTCCTCCTCCACTATTGCCCTTCTCTTCCCTCTCCTCCTCCACTATTGCCCTTCTCTTCCCTCTCCTCCTCCACTATTGCCCTTCTCTCCCCTCTCCTCCTCCACTATTGCCCTTCTCTTCCCTCTCCTCCTCCACTATTGCCCTTCTCTTCCCTCTCCTCCTCCACTATTGCCCTTCTCTCCCCTCTCCTCCTCCACTATTGCCCTTCTCTTCCCTCTCCTCTTCCACTATTGCCCTTCTCTCCCCTCTCCTCCTCCACTATTGCCCTTCTCTCCCCTCTCCTCCTCCACTATTGCCCTTCTCTTCCCTCTCCTCCTCCACTATTGCCCTTCTCTTCCCTCTCCTCCTCCACTATTGCCCTTCTCTCCCCTCTCCTCCTCCACTATTGCCCTTCTCTTCCCTCTCCTCTTCCACTATTGCCCTTCTCTCCTCTCTCCTCCTCCACTATTGCCCTTCTCTCCCCTCTCCTCCTCCACTATTGCCCTTCTCTTCCCTCTCCTCCTCCACTATTGCCCTTCTCTTCCCTCTCCTCCTCCACTATTGCCCTTCTCTCCCCTCTCCTCCTCCACTATTGCCCTTCTCTTCCCTCTCCTCCTCCACTATTGCCCTTCTCTTCCCTCTCCTCCTCCACTATTGCCCTTCTCTTCCCTCTCCTCCTCCACTATTGCCCTTCTCTTCCCTCTCCTCCTCCACTATTGCCCTTCTCTTCCCTCTCCTCCTCCACTATTGCCCTTCTCTCCCCTCTCCTCCTCCACTATTGCCCTTCTCTTCCCTCTCCTCCTCCACTATTGCCCTTCTCTTCCCTCTCCTCCTCCAATATTGCCCTTCTCTTCCCTCTCCTCCTCCACTATTGCCCTTCTCTTCCCTCTCCTCCTCCACTATTGCCCTTCTCTTCCCTCTCCTCCTCCACTATTGCCCTTCTCTTCCCTCTCCTCCTCCACTATTGCCCTTCTCTTCCCTCTCCTCCTCCACTATTGCCCTTCTCTTCCCTCTCCTCCTCCACTATTGCCCTTCTCTTCCCTCTCCTCCTCCACTATTGCCCTTCTCTTCCCTCTCCTCCTCCACTATTGCCCTTCTCTCCTCTCTCCTCCTCCACTATTGCCCTTCTCTCCCCTCTCCTCCTCCACTATTGCCCTTCTCTTCCCTCTCCTCCTCCACTATTGCCCTTCTCTTCCCTCTCCTCCTCCACTATTGCCCTTCTCTCCCCTCTCCTCCTCCACTATTGCCCTTCTCTTCCCTCTCCTCCTCCACTATTGCCCTTCTCTTCCCTCTCCTCCTCCACTATTGCCCTTCTCTTCCCTCTCCTCCTCCACTATTGCCCTTCTCTCCCCTCTCCTCCTCCACTATTGCCCTTCTCTTCCCTCTCCTCCTCCACTATTGCCCTTCTCTTCCCTCTCCTCCTCCACTATTGCCCTTCTCTTCCCTCTCCTCCTCCACTATTGCCCTTCTCTTCCCTCTCCTCCTCCACTATTGCCCTTCTCTCCCCTCTCCTCCTCCACTATTGCCCTTCTCTTCCCTCTCCTCCTCCACTATTGCCCTTCTCTTCCCTCTCCTCCTCCACTATTGCCCTTCTCTTTCCTCTCCTCCTCCACTATTGCCCTTCTCTCCCCTCTCCTCCTCCACTATTGCCCTTCTCTTCCCTCTCCTCCTCCACTATTGCCCTTCTCTTCCCTCTCCTCCTCCACTATTGCCCTTCTCTTCCCTCTCCTCCTCCACTATTGCCCTTCTCTTCCCTCTCCTCCTCCACTATTGCCCTTCTCTTCCCTCTCCTCCTCCACTATTGCCCTTCTCTTCCCTCTCCTCCTCCACAATTGCCCTTCTCTTCCCTCTCCTCCTCCACTATTGCCCTTCTCTTCCCTCTCCTCCTCCACTATTGCCCTTCTCTTCCCTCTCCTCCTCCACTATTGCCCTTCTCTTCCCTCTCCTCCTCCACTATTGCCCTTCTCTTCCCTCTCCTCCTCCACTATTGCCCTTCTCTTCCCTCTCCTCCTCCACTATTGCCCTTCTCTTCCCTCTCCTCCTCCACTATTGCCCTTCTCTTCCCTCTCCTCCTCCACTATTGCCCTTCTCTTCCCTCTCCTCCTCCACTATTGCCCTTCTCTTCCCTCTCCTCCTCCACTATTGCCCTTCTCTTCCCTCTCCTCCTCCACTATTGCCCTTCTCTTCCCTCTCCTCCTCCACTATTGCCCTTCTCTTCCCTCTCCTCCTCCACTATTGCCCTTCTCTTCCCTCTCCTCCTCCACTATTGCCCTTCTCTTCCCTCTCCTCCTCCACTATTGCCCTTCTCTTCCCTCTCCTCCTCCACTATTGCCCTTCTCTTCCCTCTCCTCCTCCACTATTGCCCTTCTCTTCCCTCTCCTCCTCCACTATTGCCCTTCTCTTCCCTCTCCTCCTCCACTATTGCCCTTCTCTTCCCTCTCCTCCTCCACTATTGCCCTTCTCTTCCCTCTCCTCCTCCACTATTGCCCTTCTCTTCCCTCTCCTCCTCCACTATTGCCCTTCTCTTCCCTCTCCTCCTCCACTATTGCCCTTCTCTTCCCTCTCCTCCTCCACTATTGCCCTTCTCTTCCCTCTCCTCCTCCACTATTGCCCTTCTCTTCCCTCTCCTCCTCCACTATTGCCCTTCTCTTCCCTCTCCTCCTCCACTATTGCCCTTCTCTTCCCTCTCCTCCTCCACTATTGCCCTTCTCTTCCCTCTCCTCCTCCACTATTGCCCTTCTCTTCCCTCTCCTCCTCCACTATTGCCCTTCTCTTCCCTCTCCTCCTCCACTATTGCCCTTCTCTTCCCTCTCCTCCTCCACTATTGCCCTTCTCTTCCCTCTCCTCCTCCACTATTGCCCTTCTCTTCCCTCTCCTCCTCCACTATTGCCCTTCTCTTCCCTCTCCTCCTCCACTATTGCCCTTCTCTTCCCTCTCCTCCTCCACTATTGCCCTTCTCTTCCCTCTCCTCCTCCACTATTGCCCTTCTCTTCCCTCTCCTCCTCCACTATTGCCCTTCTCTTCCCTCTCCTCCTCCACTATTGCCCTTCTCTTCCCTCTCCTCCTCCACTATTGCCCTTCTCTTCCCTCTCCTCCTCCACTATTGCCCTTCTCTTCCCTCTCCTCCTCCACTATTGCCCTTCTCTTCCCTCTCCTCCTCCACTATTGCCCTTCTCTTCCCTCTCCTCCTCCACTATTGCCCTTCTCTTCCCTCTCCTCCTCCACTATTGCCCTTCTCTTCCCTCTCCTCCTCCACTATTGCCCTTCTCTTCCCTCTCCTCCTCCACTATTGCCCTTCTCTTCCCTCTCCTCCTCCACTATTGCCCTTCTCTTCCCTCTCCTCCTCCACTATTGCCCTTCTCTTCCCTCTCCTCCTCCACTATTGCCCTTCTCTTCCCTCTCCTCCTCCACTATTGCCCTTCTCTTCCCTCTCCTCCTCCACTATTGCCCTTCTCTTCCCTCTCCTCCTCCACTATTGCCCTTCTCTTCCCTCTCCTCCTCCACTATTGCCCTTCTCTTCCCTCTCCTCCTCCACTATTGCCCTTCTCTTCCCTCTCCTCCTCCACTATTGCCCTTCTCTTCCCTCTCCTCCTCCACTATTGCCCTTCTCTTCCCTCTCCTCCTCCACTATTGCCCTTCTCTTCCCTCTCCTCCTCCACTATTGCCCTTCTCTTCCCTCTCCTCCTCCACTATTGCCCTTCTCTTCCCTCTCCTCCTCCACTATTGCCCTTCTCTTCCCTCTCCTCCTCCACTATTGCCCTTCTCTTCCCTCTCCTCCTCCACTATTGCCCTTCTCTTCCCTCTCCTCCTCCACTATTGCCCTTCTCTTCCCTCTCCTCCTCCACTATTGCCCTTCTCTTCCCTCTCCTCCTCCACTATTGCCCTTCTCTTCCCTCTCCTCCTCCACTATTGCCCTTCTCTTCCCTCACCCCCTTTGTCGTTCTTCCTCTGCTTCTCCCTGCTCCCTTCTCTTCCTCCCCTCCCCCCTATCCAGGCGGCCATATCGCTCCAAGAAGCAGCAGACAGCAACCAGCCACTGCAGCCGATTCTGTCCTCCCTCCTCCTCCACCCCGCCTCCTCCTCGCTCACTCCCCCTCCCCTCGCCAAAGTCACATCCTCTCAATCACACCTTCAACCTCCACACTTACAGTCACAATCCAGGACAGAATTAAAATCAGAATCAGCACCGCAATCCCAATCGCAGCCATCCCAGGATCCTCTCGTCTCATCCCTCCTGCCACGTGGCGACGACCCATTGGTCGCTGCGATCGCCGCCACCCTGCCCAAATCCGCGCTGGCCAATGGCGTGCTGACACGTCAGCAGCTGCAGGAGAGGCTGGAGGGGATGAGGGCGAGGGTGTGCCAGCTGGCGATGCTGCCGCCGGCCAATGGGGGGGAGAGGGAGGGCGTGGGAGGGGGAACGGGAGGGGGAACAGGAGGCGGAAGAGGAGCGGGAGGGGGAGGAGGAGAGATGGTTGAGCCAGGTCTATTCTCACAAGCAGTGGCAGCAGTGGCAGTTGCTTTCAAGGTAAAGTTGAATCAGGTTTTAAGGTTAGAGCGTCGACTTGGCAATAGGCGCCAGTGGCAATAGGCGCCAGTGGCAATAGGCGCCAGTGGCAATAGGTCTATTTACGCGAGCAGTGGCAGCAGCAGTAACAGTTTTTAGAGGCGCCTAAAAAGTCGTCTAAAGTTTTTCAAGGCGCCTCAAAAGTGGTTTTGATGTTCGAGAGTGGACTGGGCAATCGGTCTATTTTTGCGAGCAGTGGCAGCAGCAGTAAAAAGGTGAGGGAGATTGTTATTCACGTTTCATTCAACTCAGGGATAGGTGTACTGTCACAAGCAGTGGCAGCATTTGCAGAGGCAAGTGCTCCGCTGGTGGAGGGGCGAATGGAAAGAAGCAGCAGGGGCAATGGAGAGGGGAGGCATGGGTGATGGGGCATGTAGGCATTCTCATACAGCCTCTTCATGGGTGATGGGGCATGTAGGCATTCTCATACAGCCTCTTCATGGGTGATGGGGCATTTGCAGACAGCCCCACCCAAATCTCCAATTTCTCCCATTCCCATCCGTCCTTTCCCCCACTGCAGTTCCCAGTACCCAGCACAGCAGGGGAGGCACCAAGCCCTGAGCAGTCTGTTTCCGATGCCTTGATGCTGCTGGTGGAGGGGCGGCTGGAGGAGGCAGCAAGGGGCGATGGAGAGAGGGGTGAAGGGTGCAGGGGGATGAAGTTTGAAGGGGCGGCAGCTCTGCTGGTGGAGGGGCGGCTGGAGGAGGCAGCAAGGGGCGATAGCAGTCTGACTCAGCCGCATCGCAACCCCCCCCCCCCCCCCCCCCCCCCCCCCCCCCCCCCCCTCTTCCATATGTTCGTCTCCCTCCCACCAGTTCCCAGTACCCAGCACAGCAGGGGAAGCAGCCCTGAGCAACCTGTTGCCAAAGCGGCAGCTCTGCTGGTGGGGGGGCGGCTGGAGGCGGCAGCAGGGGCGATAGCAGTCTGATTCAGCCCCATTACCCCTCCCCTTCCCATCTGTGCTTCTCCCCATAACAGCTCCCAGTACCAACCATAGCAGGGGAGGCACCGAGCCCTGAGCAGTCTGTTTCCGATGCCTTGATGCTGCTGGTGGAGGGGCGGCTAGAGGAAGCAGCAGGGGCGATGGAGAGGGGGGTGAAGGGGACACGGGCGGAGGGGGTGGTGGGGCAGTGGGGGGAGGAGGTGAGGGGAAGGGCGGCAGTGGAGCAGGCAGTTAGGGTGATACAGGCGCATGCAGGGTGCATGGCAGCAGAGCTTCGTAGGTGACATGTGTGCGGTGCAGTTTAGTGCGGTTCAGTGTGGTGCGTTGTGATTCCGTGAAGCTCAGGGCAGTGTGAGAGCAGGAGAGGAGGTGAGGGGAAGGGCAGCAGTGGAGCAGGCGGTCAGGGTGATACAGGCGCATGCAGGGTGCATGGCGGCAGAGCTTCGAAGGTAACATGCATACAGTTCGGTGCGGTACAGTTTGGTCCAGTGCGTTTCGGTCCGTTTCAATGTGGTTCAGCGAGAGTCAGTGCGGTTGTGAGTGGTGCGGTTGGAGGGATTGGCGGGGCAGTGGGGGGAGGAGGTGAGGGGAAGGGCAGTAGTGGAACAGGCAGTGAGGGTGATGCATGCACATGCAGGGTGCATGGCGGCAGAGCTGCGTAGGTGACATGAGTGCGGTGCAGTTTAGTGCGGTTCAGTCTTGTTCTGTGCGATTCGGTGAAACTCATTGCAATGCAGTGCGGTTCTGAGCCTTGCTGTTGAAGATAGCGGGAGAAGTGGTAGAGGAGGGGGAAAAAAGGTGGGAGGGGAGGGGGGGGGGGGGAGAGGGGGAGGGAAGGGGGTTCGGTCGGAAGTGAAGCATGCAAAAAGGGTGATGCAGGCGCATGCCGGCGGCTACATGTCGGCAGCAGTCTACTTTGAGGCGCCTCAAAAGACGGCTCCATGTCGGCAGAGAGAGTTTCATACGGTAGGTGGAGGTTGTTGTGTGACTGCGTTCGTTTGGGTGCAGTTGGGTGTGGCTGGGATGGGGGGTGTGTGGTTAGTGAACTCTTGCGCTGGTCTGGCTGGTCACTTGCGCTGACTGACAGACATGTTTCGCTGAGGAATTATTTTCTAAATACATTCAATCAATTCCACTAGGTAGCGCTCTTTGTGCAAGCTATGCAACTAGCAGAATCATTATCTCATATTTGTCACAATTTGCAGCTACCTCCAGAGAATAAACACGATCAATAATCAAATGGCAGCTGCATACTGTACATTGATTCAAAAGGCACCCTGCTTCCATCCACAGCACATCCTAGTATGCATTGCTTGTCGACCGTGAACAACCACATATGCATACACACATCAAGAAAAGAAACAAAGAAAATATTGTCAGAATAATTGTGCAGGATTGAATGAACTATGAATGAGTTGGGTACAAGTACTAACCCTAAAGTGTTGTACTCCTTATAGGCTAACCCACTATAGCCTAGAGAGAACACAAACATACAGTTTAACACACCCCCATAGGCCAAGTGGGAGATAGCAAACACAACAGACGGTCACAAGACCAGTCAAGCAAGAGAACAAGCAACGCAAAGCTCAAGGTGGATCTCAAGGACACCACACAATTTGAGCACAAGCAAGCGGCCACAAGGCCAGTTCACATGCAAAGTTATAATAGCAAGGCAGTACACTGATCACAAACAAGCAAGAGTAAACAAGCAGGTATAAAAATATGTATCAGTGTACAACAAGAGCAAGTCAAGCAACCAGCAGGTGAGGCAGAGTGGGCACAAGCCCAAGAGCAGTGCAAAAACGCTGATGATCACCAAACCCAAGGGCCTTGGTGAACACATCAACAGTGTTGGCCCGCGAGGCCACGTAGGAAATGCGGAGCTGACGACGCTGCTGCAGCTCACGTGCAAGGAAGTAGCGAAGAGCAATGTGCTTTGTTTTGTGCTCCAGTCTTTGCTCGTGACACAAGGCAAGCATTGCCTTGTTGTCGGCGTACAGAACTGGAGGAGAACGAGGCTGCTCCCCCAAGTCGGTCAGGAAGTAGGTCAGCCAGCGTAGCTCCTGTGCAGCCATGGCCCCAGCGTAGATCTCGGCCTCACAGCTAGAACCAAGCACAGAAGAAGAATGATTGGACCTCCACGAGACAGAACCAGAGCCAAGACTGAAAGTGTGACCCTGTGACGAACGCTGAGTCGCCTGATCGTCAGCCTAAGAAGCGTCGGAGTGTCCTGTGAGTACCACTGAACCCCGTCCTCCAAGCACAAGCCCCATGCCCGATGTACTGCACAAGTAACGCAGTACCCTCTTCGCAGCATCCAATTGCACCTTTCGGTGTCTATCGGGAGCTACGTACCGAGCCAAGAGGCTGAGAGGGTACGCGAGGTCAGGTCCTATGCACGTCATCAGGTACATGAGGCAACCCACAAGCTCTGGGTACGGTCCACTCGGCTCTACAGACTTGTCCGAAGGTGGAGCTGAGAGCGAGTGGCCGGTAGACAGAGGAGTGGGATGTGGCGAGGAAAACTGGAAGCCGAAACGCTGAAGGACTTGGTGCACCATGTATGACTGAGTCGGGGTGATGGTGCGCCGTGCTCTGTCCCGGGTGATTTGCAAGCCAAGATAGCTACACAGCTTACCCAGGTCAGTGCAGGTGAATCTCTCCTGCAGCTACGCCTTCACTAGGGTCAGCACCTCAGTGTCAGCAGTAGCAAAAACCAAGTCGTCGACGTACACGAGAACGTAGAACGGCGGCAGGGTAGGGTTGGTGCGTAGAAACAGCGACGGGTCAGCAAAGGAAGGAGCAAACCCAAGAGCCGCAAGTGTAGTCCTCAATGTGTCGTGCCAATCTTGGGGCGCCTAGCAGAGACCATAGACTAGCCGCTGGAGGCTCCACTGGGTACCTGCAAGAAACGACCTAGTGAAGCCGGGTGGGCGGCGCAGCCAGATCTCCTCGTGAAGGCTGCCATGCAGGAAAGCCGTGGAGAAGTCGAGGGAGTGCAGCTCGTAGTCACACTTTGCTGCAACGTGCAGTAGCACCCGAAGAGTAGTCATCTTCGGGGTGGGGGAGAAGGTCTGGAAGAAGTCAACCCCCTGTCGCTGACTGAAGCCTCGAGCAACGTAACGCGCCAAAGTCCACATGCCATCGACTATGTTCACCCAGGAGGAGGAACCTCGTCGACGTAGGTGCCTGTGGAGTTCCAGGAAGCCATCTCTACGTCCATGGCTGTCTGCCACTGAGAGGAGTACTCACCCGCGATCGCCTCAGCGTAAGAACGCGGGGTAGGGATGTTAAGTGCATCTGGGTCTCCCTCAGGGCAAAGCAGCATGGATGCGAAACGAGGTAAAGCGGCCGCAAGAGACTCAAGCTCAAACTGTTTGTCCTCAAGTACGTCACTGCTAAGGGCAGGCTCACCCCCGACGGACGGAGGACAGACAGACTCAGACTCAGTGGCAAGACTCGCGACGTATTCGAGACGACTCCTAGCTGCAAAGTTGACTAGCTCGGTGACTAGGGCAAACGCTGCAGTAGACTCAAGGTCAGGGTCAGTGACGACAGTAGCGAGGAGACGAGTGACAGTAGGACTGGCAGCATGAGCAAGGTCAGACTCAGGGTTAGGAATGTGCGGGAGAGAGGACGCGGGAGGCTCAGGTAGGACAACACGTTGTGGAACAGAGGAAGGACGAAGTGCCATACCGTGAGTGCCTGGGACAGCAGGAGGACGAGGACGGGCGACACGACGAGCACGAACACGTGTGGAAGCACGAGTCTCAGGCTCATGACGCTCAGTCAGGGACTCAGTCACCTCAGTGTGTGGAGCAGGAGCAGGCAGCGGGGAGCCAGGCAGAAGCTATGGCTGAGACTGGTCTGTCGGTGAACACAAGAGAGGTGGAGTTAGGCCAGTGGAAGACAGGAGACTAAGAACCTGGCGAAGGACAGAGTCAGGCAGTGGCAGGGACGACTGCGTATGCGGGTAGAAAAACAGTCGGTGCGGAGCAGAACCTGCAGCTCCAGCTCCTCCAGCACTAGGAACACCCGCACCTCTAGCACCAGCAGCTCCAGTAGCACCTCCAGCACCAGCAGCACCATGAGCTCCGGCAGCGCCAGGAGTACCTCCAGCACCAGTAGTACCTCTAGCACCATTAGTACCTCCAACACCTCCATTGCCAGTAGCTCCAGTAGCACCTCCAGCACCTCCAGCACCAGCAGCACCAGCACCTCCAGTACCTCCAGTACCTCCACCTCCAGCGCCTCCAGCACCAGCATTTCCTCCAGCACCTCCAGTGCCAGCAGCTCTAGTAGCACCTCCAGCACCTCCAGCACCAGCAGCACCACCTGCTTCGGCACCTCCAGCACCTCCAGCACCAGCAGTACCTCCAGTACCTCCACTGCCAGCAGCTCCAGTAGCACCTCCAGCACGAACAGCACCACCAGCTCCAGCACCTCCAGCACCTCTAGTACGAGCACCTCCGGGACCAGCAGCTCCAGCACCAGCAGCACCTCTAGCTCTAGCGCCTCCACCATCAGCAGCACCTCCAGCACCTCCAGCACCAGCTGTACCTCTAGGACTGGTAGGTCCAGTACCTCCAGCACCAGTAGCACCTCTAGGACTAGTAGCTCCGGCACCTCCAGCACCAGCAGCACCTCTAGTACCTCCAGCACCAGCAGCACCTCCAGCACCTCCAGCAGTACCTCCAGTACCTCCAGCACCAGCAGTACTTCCAGGACTAGCAGCTCCAGTACCAGCAGGACCGTACCCTCCACCACCAGGACTGCCTCACCAAACGATCCATGCACGAATCGCCTGCAGCGAGAGCGTCTCAAGTAGATCAGGTTGCGGTGGCTGTCCAGCTCTAAGACCTCCAGCAGGGTCACCCACAGCTCCACCGCCACTAGGACTCGCAGTACCCCCAGAGTCAGCACCCCCAGTCGCAGCACCCCAAGAACCAACACCCCCAGTCGCAGCACCCCCAGAACCCTCACCCTCTGTCTCAGCACCCCTAGGCTCAGCACCAGCAGTCTCAGCACTAGAGTCCACAGCAGCAGGCTGCGGAGGCGGCGAAGACGGCCGAGGCGGAAAACCAGGGGGGGTCTCCAAGCGTGGAGAGCGGCGAGTGGCCGCCGTGTCGTCAGCGGCGGGGTCACCCCCCTCAGCTGGGCCAGAGGAGTCAGAAGAGATCTCCAAAGGCTCAACCAAGGGGGGTGGGTCTACTTGAGACATAACTGAGGGAGCAGGACCCTGTGGGGGGAGGGGGTCTACCGGAGGGGGGGAACAGGTACCAAGAAAAGAGGCGCTAGGGGGACCGGGTGGGACGCGTGCTGGTGTAGCCTGTAGAAACAGACAGACTCGTCAAAGGTGACGTCTTGGGAGGAGAAGACTCGACGCTCGCGTGGGTGGTAGAACTGCCACGGCGGGGCATCGGTGGGGAAGCCAAGGAAGACACAGCGGAGAGTGCGAGAGGAGACCTTGTTCGCTTTGGCATCGTGAACAAGGGAGAGCGCGCCCCAGACCCGAAATACCGACGCATCGCCAACCTTCCCCGTCCACCGGAGTGTGGGTGGGGTCTCTAGCTCAGAGACACGAGGCCAGAGGTTGAGTTGATGTGCAGCGTATCGGACCGCAAACGGCCACAGAAAATGGGGAGCAGCCGCATGGATCATG